TTCATACAAAATCATGGATAGTTTGTCACATTTCAAACCACATTTTTCTCGAATAAGATGTATTATAGACCTCAACCACACACATTCTCGACTTGCTTCATGAATGGCAATTATCTCAGCATGATTAGATGAAGTAGCCACAATTGATTGCTTAGTCGATTGCCAAGATATGGTAGTGCCTCCACATGTAAACACATAGCCTATTTGAGATCGAGCCTTGTGTGGGTCAAATAAATACCCAGCATCGGCATATCCAACAAGATCGGAATTGCAATTATTGCCATAAAATAAACCCATATCGGTAGTTCCTTTTAGATACCGCAATATGTGTTTGATTCCTTTCCAATGTCTCCTTGTAGGAGCAGGGCTATATCTTGCTAAGACATTAACTGAAAAAGTTATGTCAGGCCTTGTAGTATTAGCAAGATACATTAGTGCACCAATTGCACTAAGATATGGTACTTTAGGACCAAGTAGCTCTTCATTCTCTTCTTGAGGTCGGAATGGATCCTTATTCACATCAAGTGATCGAACAACCATCGGAGTACTTAATGGATGTGCTCCATCCATGTAAAACCGTTTCAATACCTTTTCTATGTAGGCAGATTGATGAACAAAAATTCCGTTAGCCAAATGTTGAATTTGCAAACCAAGACATTATTTTGTCTTTCCGAGATCTTTCATATCGAATTCTTTCTTTAAATAATCAATTGCCTGTTGGAGTTCTGTAGGAGTTCCAATAAGGTTTATGTCATCGACATATACGGCAAGTACAACAAATTCTGATGTTGTTTTCTTTATAAAAACACATGGAGAAATGACATCATTTATATAACCTTCTTTTAATAAATACTCACTAAGACAATTATACCACATTCGTCAAGATTGCTTTAGACCATACAAAGATCTTTGCAATTTGATTGAAAACATTTCCCGGGACTATGAATTATGTGCGTTAGGCATTTTAAATCCATCGGGAATTTTCATGTATATCTTATTATCAAGTGAGCCATAAAGGTAGGCGGTAATCACATCCATTAAATGCATGTCAAACTTTTCATGGACAGCAAAACTAATGAGATAATGGAACGTTATAGCATCCATAACGGGTGAATATGTCTCTTCATAATCGACACCAGGCCTTTGTGAAAATCCTTGTGCAACAAGGCATGCCTTATATCTTTGTACCTCATTTTTCTCATTTATCTTGTGTACAAAGACCCATTTATAGCCAACAGGCTTAACACCATCAGGTGTTTGGACTACAGGCCCAAAAACTTCACGTTTTGCAAGTGAATTCAACTTTGATTGGATTGCTTCTTGCCATTTTGGCCAATCACAACTTTCTCGACATTCTCCAACAGATTGAGGTTCAAGATCCTCACTATTTTGCATAATGCTAGATGCAACATTATATGCAAAGACATAATCCACCACTATATCCAATCGATTCAAATTTGTCTTAATATCGATTGGATTTATTGATAGTTCCTTATTTTCTTGAGTCTCGGGCTCAGTGATTTCCTCATGATTCTTAGGATTGGTTAAATCGTGGATTTCTTCATGAGACTCTTTCTTAGTGTCATCTTGATCATTTGTTTTCTTTTTCTAGGATTTCGATCCTTAGAACTTAATGGTCTGCCACGTTTTAGGCGTGCTTTTTGACTCATTAGCTATGACACTAGAAGATTGTCCAAGAGGAACATCAATACGGATTGGAACATTCTCTGCAGGGATATATGATTTTGTTATCCTTTTCAGATCCGTAAATGCATCTGGTATTTGATTTTTGCAAATGGATAATATTTTGTACCTCTTTTTCACAAATAGAGGCATGTGGATCAAGATGAGACAATGATGGATTTTTCCACAAAATTTCCCGTTTGGTTTCACCATTTTCTCCCCCTAATGTTGGAAAATGTGTCTCATCGAACCGACAATCTGCAAATCATGCAGTGAACAAATCCCCCGATAATGTTTCGAGGCAGCGAATAATGGATGGCGATTCAAACCCAACATATATTCCTAACCTTCTTTGGGGGCCCATTTTGGTGCGATATGGCGGTGCTACAGGCACATATACTACGCATCCAAAAATTCTTAAATGGGATATATTAGGTTCATGACCCAAAACTAATTGCAATGGGGAATATTTATGATAATTTGTCGGTCTGAGACGAACTAGCATTGCTGCATGCAAAATGGCGTGACCCCAAACAGAAGTGGGTAACCTCGTTTTCATGAGTAACGGTCTTGCTATCAATTGCAGACATTTAATTAAAGACTCTGCAAGGCCATTTTGAGTGTGAACATGAGCTACAGGATGTTCCACTTTTATCCCAATTGATAAGCAATAATCATTAAATGCTTGGGATGAAAATGCCTCATTTGTTTTTTTTAAGATTAAGACGTCTGAATCTGAATATACATCTAAATATCAAGATGTGTATTAAGATTAAGACATCTGAATCTGAATACACGTCTAAATATATTAAGATGTATATTAAGATCTGAATAGAAATAATTAAGACTGTTTGATTTTTAACATCTGAATGTAATAAATTTATCTTTAGTTGAAAATTAATAAACATAAAATTCAAATGAAATACTAACTTATCTAGAATTCTAACAATAAAATATAAAGTTTTTTAAAATACGATAATCGTTGGTGGCGATGGCTAAAGGGTGAATGCCGACTAAAGGCGGTGGTTTTGTAGTTTTGGTTGATGATGGTGGTTCATGCTAGTAGCTAGTAGTGCTTGGTAGTGGTGGCGATTATGATTGAGGATGGTGGTGGTGGGTGGTGATAGTTAATAATGGCGGGTGGTGATAGTAGTTGTGACTGAGGAAGGTGGTGGGTTGGTGGTGGTAGGTTATAATGATGGGCAGTGCCGGCTGTGGTTGTTGATGGTGATGGGGTGGTCAGTTGTGGTAGTTAAGGTGGATGAATGTTGATTGTGGGTGAGAATGATATGTGGTGGTCGGAGTGGTGGTGATGGTCGATAATGGTAGCGGCTATGATTGAGGATGATGATGGCGTCGTGGAGGTGGTAGTGGTGGTGGTGGTGGTGGTGGCTGAGTATGGTGGTGGTGGTGGCATGGTGGTAGTTGATAATGGTAGGCAGTGGCGGCAGTTAATAATATATATGTGATAGCATCTTAATGAAATGAAGTCTTTGTTATAGATCTTAATCATACAGATCTATTCAGACCCAATAAGTGGTTGTGAAGTAAAAAAAACAAACACACTTAATGATTAAGATTTGAATAATTAAGATTTAAACTTTAAAAACAAACAAACTTAATGTCTGAGATCTGAATGATTAAGATTCAGACCTCCATTATGTGCAAACAAATGAGGCTTCAGCGGCATTATCAAGTCTAATGGACTTAATGGATTATGGGGAATT